GGCGGAGGTGGATGGCCTCTTTGGTGTCGATGTCGGGAATGTCGAAAGCTGCCAGCAGGTCATCGAAATCGGGGGTTTTCATGTCACCCATGGTGGGGAATATGGCAGAGTCTGCAAGGGAGCAAGGAGAGGAGCATTAACACCCTGACCACGGCGTGTGGATGAGACCCCCAGAGACATGGATGGAATAGGGTTTCTGAGCCCCACACCAAGCACAAAACCCCTGTGGGAACCCCAGCCCACCCTGCACCCCACAGGCAAACCCTCGTGGCCTCTGTCACTTGGCTTGTTTATGGATCATTTTTTGATCCCCAGCCAGGACAGAAGGAAATCCAGGAGAAACCCAGTGCCCTGGGATCCAGCACCTTGCAGCCTGGCCAGGAGGGCTGGAGTTCTGTCCCCTCACAAGGGGAACAGGACACCAGGACACAGGGACCATCCTTCCCACCCCTGGGGCAGTCCCACGAGGACACAGCTCACAGGGACAGTGTCCAGAGAGGAGGACTTGGATAAGGGACCTGCAACACGTGGAGCAAAGGATGAGGAGACAGGGGAAGGGGGTCATGGCAACAGGTTTCCAAACGTGGCTGCAGCAGAGACAAAGGGAATAATGTTCCTCCTGTCGCTGGGTAAGAAATCCCAGGATTAAGCTGCAGGCAGGGGATGGGGCTTAGACAGCAGGAAAGAGTCTGATTTCTAAGGACAACCAGGCATAGGAGGCAGGACAGGGGAGGCCCCACGTGCTGGAGAGCAGCTGGACACGTGTCTGTCCAGGGGAGCAGATCCACTGGGAGGGGACAGGGTGGTCTCGGGACAGTATCAGGGTGCAGGGCAGGGAGAGTGGTTACTCCTCAGCCACCAGCAAAATCAACCAAGAAGAGGAGAAACCTTTATCTCGGAGGCTGAGAGGGGTAAATGCAACCCCCTGGAGCGCTGTGGAGAGCCAGAACAACCCTCACCGTGGGTAAACCTGCTTTTTGGAAGAAGAGAGAGTGATTCCTTCCCAGGGAGCTCAGTTTGAAACTCCCTGACACCAACAGAGAAGTTTATCCCACGTGTCCAGCAGGCAGGACCTGCAGCCCCCGGCGGAGCCCTCGACCTTCCCAACACCAGAACCAACTCTGAAACCTGCCAAACCACTGACAGGCAGAATCCAGATCAGCCAGAGTGTCCTCCTGGCTGGTGGCACATCACAGACACCTCCAGTTATCACAGCTCTGGGTGCCAGAGCCCAGCCCCACGTCCCACCAGGCGCTGCAGGCGGGAGAGTCCCTGCTGTGACGTTTGTTGTTTCAATGAAGATTCCATCGTCTCCATCCACGGATTTGTGAGCAGCAGGATGGGTGGGTGGATGGACTCTTGGCTTCTTGGCATTGGCCAAACAGGCAGCAGCACTAAGGAAGCTGGTTTCTACCTCTCCTGTCTGATGGGAGTGAACAGCCTGACCATCTCCTTGCAGGAGCAGCGTCTCTTCTCAGACGTGTCCCATACGAGCCCTGGAGACCACGGCATGTTCACCCTCACCCCTGCACAACCAGGAGCTCCATCCTGTAGGTTCTTCCTCTCCCAGACTGGAGGTGGATGAAGGAAAAGAGCAGAGCTAGTGCCCATCACCTCCCTGGCAGCATCTGGCCTCAGGGAAGCAGATGTTCCCCCCCAGCCTGGGCCTCCTTGGAGGTGAGCAGCAGCTCTCGCACCCGGGCTGGTCTTTCTCCTGTCCCTGGCCACCCCCCTGGCTCCCAGTTCAGCTACCCCAGGCTTAGTGGGGCTGTCAGGGCTCTGGTGGTTCTCCCGACAGCTTAGGGAGGAGGCTTAGTCTGGCTTTATTTTTATCCCTCACCCTGGGTCACCCCGAGGGGATCTCTGCTGGGTGCAGCTCGGGGTCTCTGGGCCACCCAGGAACCTGCTGCTCCAGAACACGCTGACATTGGACATCCAAGGGGGCAAGTTCCCACCAGCATCGATGCCCTGTGCCCATGCAGCCCCCCTGCCCACCCACAGGCCCCAGGTGGCAGCAGGGGCATCAAGTGAGGAGCTGGATGGGGTGTGAATCTCTGCTAGAGCCAAAGACAGGACGACAAGGCAGCTGGTCCTGGCAAGAGCAGGAGATCCTGCCTGGAAAGGGCGACCTCGGAGGAAGGAACCCACGAGGTGGAAAACACCCAGGCAGAGAGCAGAGCTGCTGTTGAGCCAGCACAGCCTGCAGGTTGGGGGTGACAACTGAGCCCTGCTTTTAAAAGCAAAACTGATGATGGATCCTGTCTCTGTTCAACACTCACCACTTGGGGCAGGAATGAAGTCATTTAGGAACCACCCATCACTTCCACGCTCTGACAGATGCTCTTCCAGGGAAGGGTCCCCACCAGAAGGGTGGCAGGAGTCCCTGCACAGCACTGATTGCACAAGTATGTCTCCTAGGTTGGTGGTAACAGGAAAGTCTCCACCCCAGAAGGGTTTTTTTGGTTGTTGTTCTTAGAAATCCTGAGATCCTAATCTTAGAAGTCCCAAGATCCCTCACTCAGCCCCTTCTGATGGAAGAGGAAAGTCCCGGTGTGGAGTCAGTAACTCCTACTGAAAAGGAGACAGCTGAGATGGGAAGAGCCCAGCTCCACCTCCACCCCTACCAGGCTGACACAGGGGGGTTATTTTGGTAGCTCAAAACACAACTCTTTTCTTAGGCAAAGAAACTATTTTTCTTAGGCAAAAAAAAAGGCCTCCAGGGGGGCAGGGAAGGGCATCTTCAGCCTCACTGGTGGAGCTGTGACAACTGTCCTGCCTCCCAGGAAGAGAAGAGTTTACAACAAGCACCAGATCCATGTGGGAACAGCTCTGTGATGGGGGCACCAGGGTCCCACCAGGCACCTTCAGAAGCTCCAGCAGGACCTGTCCATGTGCAGCTCAGCCTGCGTGGTGGTCACTGGGAACCACAGCACAGGGGAGAGGAAGAGTCTGAGATCCCAACCCAGCCATGGAAAAGATCCCCAGATCCTCTCTGGATTTGAGGAGGAAGAGATGCAGACCAGGAGGTTGCCAAACTTGTTTGCCAGCCTGCCCTGAACACCCCAGCCCAGCTCTAAATGAAGAGGCCTGCAGACTCCACTGAAATTCCCTGCTCCTTCAATCCTGCCTATGGTCACAACCACATCAAAGCACAGGGGGCACAGGATGACCCCAAAAACACCTGATGGTCACCCTGATGGGAAGCAGGAGGCAGATCCATGTGCCCTGTGCAGGACACAAGGCAGTGATGGAGCCACAGGAGCAGGACACATCCCTGGAGCAGCAAGGAAACACAAACCCCTGCCTGGAGGATGAAGTTGGTGCAGCTGCCAAGTCCAGAACTATGGAGTTCTGAGTGTCCCCTTCTCATAGAATTACACACTCATAGAATGGTTTGGGTTGGAAGGGACCTTGAAGATAGTCTAGATCCAACCCCCAAAAATCTCCTTTCCACTCCAACCATCCCCTCTCCACTCCAACTGTGCTGCTGACCCAACCACCTCCCACCCACGAGCTGTAGCTTTCAGCAGATGACTCCACATGTCAGGAATGCCACATGTCACCTCTCTACAAGCCATCCTAAGGTTACAC